AAGAATCAAGAAATTCTTCCAGAGGAAAAGCCAAATCTCAAGGAGTATTTGGTGTTAGTTGGCTTTTACTATATCAGCTGCTTCTGGCTATGAATTCCATGTGTGCTCTCATAGCTTCCCCCAAGAACTTCTAAGGTGTTTGGATACAGTCACATAGGCGAGGTTTCCTGCCTCCAGGCCTTCTGCTTTTCTTTTTAACATTAAAACCAGATATCTCCTTTAGCTAACATCCAAGGACAAAGCATTTCAGGCCAACTGCTGGTCTCCTGAAGGCCAGGTGGGCATTAGGTACATAGCTTTGCTTCTTGTGCAAATTAAGCTCAGACCCCACTTCCTCTCACAGCACCAAGTGGCAGCCTCAAGCAACTTACTTAGAACAAAAGGGCTCTTTGCATACCTGGTGCAATGAAGCTATGGGGCAGGTTTCCTAGCTCCAAGCAGAGCTACCCTGCCCAACCAGAAAGCAGCAAGGCAGAGTTTGCAGATTGTAGGTGTATAGAGACTGGTTGGGGGAAGAACGAGGAGGAACAAAGATGGAGGGGACTGAAGATGAAGACATGAAGAACCTAGTTAAAGCTATGAGGGGCAGGAGGAGAAGGGATGAGGGCAGAGTTGACGCTATGTAGATAGAATTTTGTGTCAGAAAAATAAAGTAAAAGGACTGTAGAGCTCGGTGTACTTAGATTCATTCCCTCAGATTACCCTGTTGCTGAGTCTTCCCCAGGACTGAGAGAATTGTCCTCAGGGCAGGCCCCCCCAGGGGAAATTTTGATAATCAGGCTTGTGTGGCAAGCACCTTACCCACTGAGCCACTGCCTGAGTTCCCATGTTACTCTTCAGAGTTATTATTAGGTATTTGAGAGTTACTGGCACTAGAGTAAGTAGCAACATTTAACTTTTCATTTTCATTTGTTTGTTTCTGGTATACGGGGATGCTACTGATTCTGGTTATTGTTTTTTTAAAGATATACTTTGTGTATATAAATATTTTGCTCACATGCATATATGTGCAACATGTGAGTGCCTGTTGGATCCCTTGGAACTGGGGTTATGGACCATTGTAAGCCATTATATGGGTGCTGGGAATCAAACCCAGGTCCTTTGCAAGAGCAACAAGTGCTCTTAACCGCTGAGCCATCTTTCCAATGCCAGCAATTTATCCAAATTCACTCCTGGTGTGTGTGTGTGTGTGCATGTGTACATGTATGTGGGTGCATGTGAAGGTCAGAATTGACACTCGGTGTCTTCCTCAATTGTTTTTCCTCCTTATTTTTTCAAAAGACAGAGTCTCTCATTGAATACGAAGCCCACTGATGTCCTAGAATGATGCCAACAAACCCCAGGATCCTCCCATCTCTGCTTCCCCAGAGCTGGGATTACAGATGTTTGATGCTTCACCCAGTTTGTTTTGTTTGTGGATGTTGGAGATCCAAACTTGGGTGTTTTTTCAGTTGAGTGGTTTTATTGTATTTATAGTACTGTACTGTACTATATTTATTGTATTTATAGTATGGTAAGAACTATATCAACTGAACCATCTCCCTATCCAGACCCCAAATTCACCTATAAATTCTAATTATCTATAGATTCAGATATTTACATTACGATTCATAACAGTAGTATAATTACAGTTAGGAGTAGCAATGAAATAATTTTATGGTTGGGGTCACTACAACATGAGGAACTGTATTAAAGGGTCGCAGGGTTAGGAAGATTGAGAACCACTGTTCTAGAGGCTGGAAAGTCAGAGACTATGATGTGACTTCTGGTTGGCTTTGGGTCAAGGCTTTCTGCTGCTTCAACTCATGGCAGAAAGCCAAAGGGCAAATGGCCATGCACCAAAAAAATGAAATACAAGGTGCTGCCTTGACTTACAGAGACAAATTCTCATGTAGTAATGCATCCAATCTCAGCAGAATAGCATTAACCTCTTGCAGATTCGTTAATACCATTCCATTGGAACTGAGTTCTCAACAGGGGTTTGGGAGGTACAGACCCTATTAAAACCTAGTAGGTATGATGAAATACCATTCCACTATAATAAAGAAAAAAGTACTGACACCCAGGACAGTGCACATGGAACTTGGAGTCATGCTCAATGTTGGTGCCATGGTGGTATAAGCCTGTAATCCCAGCACTGGGAAGGCTAAGGCAGGAGGATCACAAGTTTACATAGTGTGAACTTTGGGGAGATGGAAAAGATCCAGAATGATGGAGTGGTCATTACTATAAATACAATAAAACCACTCAACTGTACACTTTCTTATAGTGAATTTTATGTCAACTAGAACTTGGTAAAACAGTAAAATATTTGCTAAGAATGTCTTTATCCTCTTTGAAAATGAAAAAAAAAATAAAGCTACTCTGATACTCTGACTCTGAAAATGTGCTCTTTCAGAGTCCAGGGAACTTGGGGGTCGGTCAGGAGACCGACATGGCCCTGAGGCTGGTCCTGGCCCACAGTGGGTGGAACCACACATCCACATGCAGCCATATCCATGGTTACAGTCCACATCTACAAACTGCACTCTCAAAAAAAACCCTTCATTTTTGTTTTGTTTTTTTTTCGGGCTTTTATTCTTGTGTGGTAAGAACTATATCAACCAAACCATCTCCCTACCCAGACCCCAAATTCACCTATGAATTCTAATTAACTATAAATTCAAGTATTTACATTACGATTCATAACAGTAGTAAAATTACAGTTAGGAAGTAGCAATGAAATAATTTTATGGTTGGGGTCACTACAACATGAGGAACACAAGGTCTTTGGCAGGGTCATGAGGTGGAGACACGGCTCTGACCTCTCCATGTCCAGGACTACCTAGGAATCTTGGCGATGCAGCACTGACAGTGACATTTAGGTAGCTAGAGGTCTGATTTTTCAATGCAGAGGTGGGCCCTGGGTGGCGCTCTGGAGGGGAGACCCCACCCACACAGAAAAGGCAGGGAGAATGAAAGATTATAAACTGCTTTGTTTTATTTGCTGCTTTTCAAGGCTTGGAGCCTGAGCAGCCGGTGGAAAATTCCATGCACCAGTGAAACAAAAGGGAGCCAGAAACGAGGGCAGATAGAGGGCATCAGTCTCCCGGTGCTCTTCTCCACATGTAGAAGTTCCTTCTTACTACCCAAGACCCAGATAAATCTCCCGGGGTTTACCTACAGTATGTCGAGGACCAAGTGTTCATTTCACCATGAAGGAAGTGGAAGGGGAGGGAGGCTACTTTATTTCCTAAGTGGGCAGTGGCACGGAAAAAAAAAATCAATGAAGCATAACACTTTTCAAGGGCTAACCTTTTAAGAGTTAGGAATACAAGTCAGTGCTAGAGGCCCTGCCCGACAAGCACAGACCCTGGGTTCAATCCTTTAACTGGCAACAATAGCTAGGGTAGAATTTAGTAAGACTAAGGTAATTTATTTTTACTTTTTTACATTAGTTACTTTTCATGGCAAATTTTCCTTGTAATCCCAGCACTTGGGCAGGAGAAACAGGAGAATTCTGAGTTCAAGATCAGGCTCAGCTATGCCAGGAGTTCTAGACACTCTCTCAAAACATAACAATAGAACTCACAATTCCACAAATTATCCTCTGACCTCCACACATGAGCTGTGGCATAAAAGTCTTAATAATAATAAATAAAAAATAGAAAACAACAGCCAAAACATAGATTTAAGGTCTTAACTCTAAGGAAAATACAGATGATACCAAGACAGGGCAGGAATGAAGGTGTTAAGAGTGACAGATATTTGGAAGTTTCATTTGTCTCTCTCGCCTCACTAATTAACAATTCTAGAGCAAGGTTGGTATGCTGGCACACTCCTATAATCCCAGGATTTGAGAGGTGGAGAAGGGAGGATCAGGAATCATCTTCATAGTAAGTTTGAAGCAAGCCTTTGCTGCAGGGTCTCATCTCAACACCAAAACCAAATAGCTGTGGTGGTGCATGCCTTCAATCCTAGCTCTCCTAAAGCAGAGGCAGGCAGATCTCTGTGAGTTCAAGGCCAGCCTGATCTACATAGAATTCTAGGCTAGCCACAGTTACTTACTGAGATTCTGTCTTTTTTTTTTTTTTAATGTATAGTGTTCTGCCTGCATGACAGAAGAGGGCACCAGATCTCATTACAGATGGTTGCGAGTCACCATGTGGTTGCTTGGAATTGAACTCAGAAACTTTGGAAGAGCAGCCAGTGCTCTTCCATCTCTCTAGTCCCAAGATCTTGTCTTAAAAACCCAAACAAAATGGTAAAACTCCAAATAGTTCTAGGGTAAATCTTAAAAACATTTGGTGCCACGTGCATCTTTGGCACTGAGTGTTCCTGACCTTCTGATACACTCTCAGTGACATCACTGCCCCTGGTGGCTAGGAAATCACAGCCTTGGGAGACTGACTGGCCCAGAGGGCAAACATGTTGTCAGACACTTGAAACCAGCTACCTGCTTTGAAGCAGCTGCCAGTTCAAGAACACATTCAAAATTCAAAAGAGGAGCTTGAGAGATGGCTCAGTAGTTAAGAGCACTCATTGTTGTTTCAGAGGATCATGAACATGGCAGCTTACAACTGTCTGTAACTCTAATCTCAGGGCACCCAACACCCTTTTCTGGCCTCTGTGGGTACCAGGCATGCACATGGTGCATAGACATGCACACAGGCGAAACACCCATACACATAAAAATAATTTTTTTTTAAACTTAAAAGATTTCTAAACAAGATGCATGTCCTTTAACTTTTCTTTGTTTAAAATATTTCATGACACAATGACAAGTAACAACGACCAGGACAAAGTGGGGATGACAACAATGTGATACTTTAAAAACCTCAATTAGCCAGGCATGGTGATGCCAGCACTCGGGAGGCAGAGGCAGGTGGATCTCTATGAGTTTGAGGCCAGCCTGGTCTACAAAAGGAGTTCCAGGACAGCCAGGGCTGTTACAGAGAAACCCTGTCTAACAAAACAAAACAAAATAAAAACCCCAAACCTCAATCATATAGCTGACTTACCAATAATAGATTCTTATCAGCGCTGAAGGCCACAGGAGAAAAGAGGCGACGAATGCCAGGATTGGAATGGCCAGGGTTCCACCCGCAATCACAAACATGTTAACTACATCTAGATCCATCCTGCTCTTCAAGACTGGTGGACACCTGCAGAGGCTAAAGACAGAGAGCAGTATTGAAAAAAATCTCAGGGGAAATGAGGAAGACTCAGAAAGGAAAAGGATCCTAGAGGGATCAGAAGACATATGCCAGAAAAAAAAAAAATGTAGCAACTAGATATGATGAGGCAGACTTGGGAGGACCATGGACCTCAAAAAGTGAAAATCAAAACTACAAGGTACATTGTCGGGATGACTGGAAAAAATCTGAGTACCCAATGGGTATCAGACAGTAGTAGGGTGCACAGTGCTACCATCTTAGAACATCCAACAAAACTGTAGCTGTGGACAATGCAGGATGTCATGCCTAGGAGAAGCTTGTTCAAGCTTTGAGGGGGGCATGTATAGACTGGTATCCATTATTCAGTTTTAAAAGTTTAGGAAAGAAAAAGTAATGTATGTGAAATGTTAATTATGATGTATTATTCCCTCAAGTTTTGTATAGATTTACAACATTTTATTTCCATTGATTGGTTGAGACAGGTCTTACTGTGTAACCTAGGCTGGCTTGAAACACACTACGTAGCCCAGGTTGGCCTGGATCTCACAATCCTCCTGCCTCAGTTTCTTGAATGCTGAAATTACAGGCAAGCATCTTACAATAACCAAATGAGGGGCTGTAGAGATGGCTCAATAGTTAAGAGCAGGACCTGGGTTGGGTTCTCAGTACCCAATCTAGAGGATCTGATGCTCTCAGGCACCAGGCATGGACTTGATACACATACATACATGCATGCAAAACAGTCACACACATAAAATTAAAAAAATATAACCAAATGAGAGAGGAATTACATCCATTTCACAGATAAGGACATTGAGGCAGAGAGAGCTTAACCCTGTTCTGTTTATCCAACTGTCCCCTCAACTGCTTAGTCACTCAAAGCAATTTTCCCAGCATGCTTCAATCACTGGCCTGTCTCTCTTCTAGAAAAGTACACTTCATTCAGGGCAAGAATAATCACTTATGTTTTTTCTTAGTGCCTAGAATAGCACAAGGCACACACAAAGTACAAACAGATCAAAGAAAAGCAAAGTTACAAGATGGGATTAATCCCGTGTAACATGTTTTAGGGAAGGAAAATCATCACCTATAATGCTAAGAGAGACTGACATTTCCCCTGAAAGTTAAGAAATTAAGAACCTCCCTGGAGAAGTTGCCTATTAAATTCAAGGTATAAAGGCTGGGGAAAGACGTGTGGCTCAGTGATAGAACATGTGCCTAACATACACAGGGCCCTGGGTTCCAGTCCAACACTGGGGGTAAAAAAAAAGAATTGCTGGCACAATCCACAATGCACAAAGAATAGATATGTAAAAATCTGCAGGCTAGGGCTGTGGGTCTCACATGAGCTGATGGATGCAAGAATTCAGTTTCAAGCCAGGCGGTGGTGGTGCAAGCCTTTAATCCCAGCACTCGGGAGGCAGAGGCAGGAGGATCTCTGTGAGTTCCAGGCCAGTCTGGGCTACAGAGTGAGTTCCAGGAAAGGCGCAAAGCTACACAGAGAAACCCTGTCTCGAAAAAAAAAAAACAAAAACAAAAACAAAAACAAAAAAAAAGAATTCAGTTTCAGATGACTCTTCTATACCTCAGGATGTCCTTAGGAAGTGCAGAGAGCCACTGATTCAGACTCCGGAGCTGGGAAATTAATTACCCAATGTCCCATCAGTCTAGGACTTAGAACATTTTGTGCCCAAGGTCATGTACATCATGAGTTTCGGCACTGGAGACAGTAGGCAAACATAAAGAGAAAAAAACCTTTATTCTGCCTGTGTCTGCTGGGGATATCACACTTTGGAGGAAAGTTCTACCAGAATCTATCTTTTGAGCAGAAGAAACTCTTATGTAGTAGGACTACTTTAACAAGGTTCAGCCTTCCCAGAGAACCTACACACTTGCCCTAACTGAGAAAGCTATGCTTTCTGACTGCCATGTTTTAGGCTAGTGGTCCTCAACCTGGGTGGGTCATGACCCCTTTAGTGGTCAAACAACCCTTCCACAGGGTTCAGTTATCAGATATCCTGCATATCAGATATTTATATTACAATTCATAACAGCAGCAAAATTACAGATATAAAGTAGCAATGGAATAATTTCATGGTTGCGGTCACCACAACATGAACTATATTAAAGGGTTGACACATTAGGAAGGTTGAGAACCACTGATTTACACAAAGAGAGGACAATTGTTCACATCTCTGCAATATCCTTAAACTACAAAGGACTCGCCTCACTTTCCTCTGGAAGGTGGTTCCCCTACCCTGCTGATGCACATTTGTTGTGCCTGAGGGTAGGCTAGAGACAGAAAAACCAAAACTTTGAGAACAAGGAACTACTAATTACCAAAAATCAGAAAACCACATAAAGGTGTTGCCTGGAATTTCCCAGACTATGGACCCATACAAAGGATAGTGCTTGGTGGCTTAGGAATGGGAGAACATTAAGTCAGGCTTCAGGGCACAGGGCTTTGGTTAATGCCAACACTTACTAAGAAACTTATCTCTGCTGTTCAAGTCCTGTCAAGGCCAGAGAGCATCTCCGAGGAAATCCTATCTGCTCCTATCTGCTCCTAGGAACTCCTGGAAGTATTTAGCTAGTCAGTAACACTGTTCTCATCATTTATTCTAACAGGTTGTATGTGTAAGTGCATGTGAGCGTGTCGTGAGACAGGGACATGCCACAACATATATGTGGAGGTGGTCAGTTCTCTCCTTCTATTATGTGGGTTCTGGGGTTCAAACTCAGGTCATCAGGTATGGCGGTAAGTACCTTTACCCAATGAACCATTCAATGATACTTTTAATTGTTCTAGAGATGTATCTTAATTTTAAGAATAAATTTAAGTAAAAAAGATGCTAATTTAAGGAAACACACTAGAGTCAGGGATGTAGCCCAGCGACAATGTGGTAGTATATCATGCATTGAGTCCTGGGGCTTGATCTTGGTGCCACAAGAAAACAAAAGGAAATGCTAAGTGGGTGATGTGTGACTCTGAGGATGTGGCATGTGAGATGCTGAATGGAAGGGCATAGTCACAGACTAAGGGGCACTTGACTTAGGAACATTCCATCCACTGGCTCCTCTACACATTTTGCTGTGAGACCCTACTCTCCTCATCTCTTCTGCCCTTTCCTAATCTGGTGATTTAACATTTCTAAAATTATGACAGGCAATCAACGAAAAGGATCTAGTTAGCCCTTCCATAAATCTCATCTCCTATTACAGTTCCCCAGAAGGTAAAATGGCACCTTGACAAGCTCTTGATACCCAGTAATGCTTGTTGTTTGACTTACTCCTTTTACTGATCTATGGTATAAAGTAGAGGCCCCAGGAGCCCTGAAACACACGGTGAAGGGAGGTAACATCAGGACAGGAGCTGGTTGTGGCTCTGCCTCAATATATGCCTTTTTGTTTTTGTTTGACATTCAATATAATCAGCTAATCAGGAATTTATTCTCTGTATAAAACAAACAAAAAACAACAAAATAGAGGAAGAGTTGGCCATTCTGTCAGCAAGGAGAGTCACTCAGTGTCACACCCCAGAATAAGGCCCATTATTCAGCCTCCACTGCCACATTAACTATATAGCCACTGCAGCTATATGGTCAGGGTCTTTATCATTATAAACAAGAATGGAGAGGATTTGGATAGAGATAGGTCAGTAGATCCAGATAAACCCTGCATGAGGGAAATCAAGTGTAGTCTGGTGTTTGAAATCAGGCATGACATTTCAGAACTCTTTAATGCCCCTGATTTTGAATGCCAAGGATCATGAGTGATGATATATTACTCCTCAGGGTACAAAGCAAAATATAAGAGCAAACAATATAGAAACATTCTCACTGACTCCTGCCTTGTAGGCATTTCCAACCTGTCCAGTGAATCCCAGGATATTTACTGCTACGGTCCACATATTTGTAGTAACAGTATCATCACAATGTCAAAAGTCCATCAAATTTGACAAACTAAAGTTTTGGTCTGTCCAAAACAATAATGCCTTTTACAACAAAAAACAGTAACTGTGGCCACCACCAGCACAGTCAGATATAAAACAGTATCCATGCACCAGTAACTCCCCTGTGCCAGCCTTGTACAGTGATTAACACCCATCTTCCCATTTTTCTCTCTCATAACATGATGAGAAACATGCCTCCCATTAGAAACTTAAGGAAGCCAATAAAAACATCTCCCAAAGTCACCTGGTTGGTAAGTAGCATGACCTGAACTGCAACTCAACCCTGTAGGTCTCCCTACTTCCTATCTCTGCCTCTCCCATGTAGTGCTTTCTACAGCATGCAAGCACTGGGCATCAATTATGATAAAACTCCCAGTTCAGTGATTTCATAGATAACCCACTATATTTCTATAGAACTGCATCAACACATGCTAATACATTAACAACTTTTACAAGTTACCAATCTTGTTCAATCCTTATTCCTACTGGTATGTTTTTAAAATTATTCAGTGTTGCTTATATTTCTTTGGCTATACAACATAAAAATTCTCCCCATAGTTTACCACTAGAAAAAACTGTTATTTTTTATTTTGTGTGTATGGGTATTTTGCCTGCATGTATGCTTGTGTACTACGTGGATATAGTGCTCACTGAGGCCAGAAGAGGGGGTCGGATTCCCTGGAACTTGAGCTACCATGGTTTTGAGTTACCATGTGGGTGCTGGGAACTGAACCTGAGTCTTCTGCAAGAGCAATAAATGCTCTTAAGTGCTGAGCCATCTCTCTAGCCCTGAAAAACATTGATTCTATCTAGGCCCCATGATACAGGCCTGTAATCCCAGCTCCTTGGGAAGCAAGACAACAGGATCATTAGGTGAAGGCCTTCCTGTGCTAAGTAGCAAGTTCCAGGCCAGTCTGGGCAACTTAACAAGATCTTCTCTCAAAATAAATTTGGTGGTTTTTGTTTTGTTGGACATGGGGACATGGCTCAGTGGTAGAGTAGGTTTAATTCCAAGGGCTGAGTGCTGGTGGTTAAAACATTATAAAAGAAAGAAATATAGAAAAAGAAAAATGCTATGTTCTTGAAATTTGAGTGCAGTGTTCCCACTGGTCAACAGTGCTGCATCTCCAACAGACTTTGGAACTAGTTCCCGAAAAGAAACTGATTCTTCAAAACTATCAATGAAGATCAACAGCTAAAACAGCCCTGGTTGCACTCCTCTACCTTCTCTGTGGCCATCTTATCTCCCCCTCAACTCTGGTTGAGCTATGTAATTTGAGGCTCCAACAGCCTTGTTGTTGAAGTGAGCTATGGCTGAGCATGCCTGACTGGGGTACCCCAGTGCTCTCCTCATTTTCTCCCTGGATAATCACAGTGGCTTTTTACCACCCCCCATAACTCTTATAATGCTGTCTTGACTCTTCCCTCACCTCCATTCTTGGCCATTCTCTTCTACAGGGAATTATAAATATCAATGTACTTGACAGAATTTCTTTCTAGATTTTTCTAATGCCTGTTTGATCACCCATGACACTAAGGTTCTACAATGCCTCAGACATATTTCTTCTGAGTCACTGATTTTGCTGACAGTTCCTCCATCCACGTAGCCTCCTCAGTGCCAGTGTACCTTCCACTCTTCTCACTTGTTCAATATACCAGGTATATAATGGATATTATAAGATATGAGCACTCAGGTCAACTGTCTAAGTCTATGAAAACTGCTGTTTAAGTTTAAATAACTTCTGGAGATACATTTCCATGACAGAGTGCTTACCTGGCCTGTATGAATTCCTAAGTTCAATGTTCAGTACCATAAATTTAAATAAGTCACCAATTTAGTAAAATTCAAAGTTCACTTCTTAATTACAATAGCTGCCTTTCAAGCACTCAATAGCCACATGTAGATAGGAGTACTGATACAGGACCATAGAGCACTGGGAGTCACACCTAGCAAGACCACACAGCACTGGGAATCACACCCATACAGGACCACACAGCATTGGGAGTCACACCCATACAGGACCACACAGCACTGGGAGTCACACCCATACAGGACCACACAGCATTGGGAGTTATGCTGGAACGGCCCCTTGCAAGCAATCAATTAGGTCAGTTTGGTTCAGTATTTAGTGGGAATACTGAGTAGGAAGAGCAATCCATATCAGATATAGAACTGTCAATCAGTCAGACTCGCTCCCTTGGCTGTACACTGGAACCAGGCCTTGTTTCTCCTGTTCACTTTCTGTAAATGCTATTCCAACACACCAACCATCCTTCTAACACCAGCTCCTGGAGGACTCATCTCAGTTCAAGGCAAGGATTGAGTTGAGCTGGTCAAACACCCACCAGACGAAATGAGAGCCACCCCACATGGTCCCAACTCTACTTCTCAGTGCTGACTCACCCTATGTCTTCTTACACCCCAACAAGCTAGCTTCCTGCCCCACCTGCCCACAATGCCTCCTGCTCTGTCCCCTTCTGGTCCTGCTAACCTATAACTAACTGATAAACTCACTCATCCCTGCCTCTAATGGCTAGTTAAAGTGACACATTCCCACTGTCATTCCTCTGTGGCCTTGCCTTCTAGATACCCTTTATATGACAGCCCTGCTCCTAGATGGTCTTTGGAAAGGCTTTTAGAGTGTATACTGGAGTTTTGAAGACCCTTGCCCCAAGTACCAATCCCTTCCCACCACACACAGTGACCTAGAGACTCACTCAGCATGAGTGGCCTGGGACAGAACTCAGAATGGCCCAGTCTCAGGAAAGCCTGCTCCTATTTTAAATAATCTAATATATTAAAAACTCACACTTACTCTTCAAGGAGCAGACTCTTTCCCAACGTTACTGGCTTTGGCAGGAGCTGAAAATGAGATTCTGTAATCACAAGAAATAAAATGACAAAGCATTAAATCATATAAGGAATGTGTTGGCAGCCAACCAGATCTGGTTGTGGTGGAGCAGCGGATTCTCTCAGCACACGGAAAATGCGCATTTCCTGCGGATTTATAGTCCACCTCTAGCTCAGGCCACTTCTCCAAGTAGGCAAAAGTGCACAGAGGGCAGGGCATCTAGATAATTAGTCAGGCCCTGGGAAAGCTAAAAGGTCTAAGGTGAACTGACTGCCATCAGTAGGAGAGGTCAAACAGAAGGAAGCAGGCATGCTTGGGGCACAAAGCTTAACAAAGAACTTCAAATAAAGATCTAGATTCTTCTTCTTTATCTCTACTAGGGCTTACCTAAATGCTACATTTGGGAAGAAATAAAAAAAAGAAAAATAATGGGTAAAGGCGGCTAAATGTTCAAGAACAGGGCTAGAAGAACAGAAGGGGCTGGCAAAAACCCCATAGCAAAGTGTGAGGCGACCAGAGGGGAAGTTAGGCTAATAGACCCAGAGGTATTCCAGGCAAGTTAGCGTTAAACATGACAAAGAATCAGGAAAGGGCTAGAAGAAATCAAAACTCTGAAAATGTCTCCATGGGGAATGCCATTCTAACGCACATAAACTACAGAGGCCATAACAAAACACTATGCTAAAAAATAATTTTATATCAGTATTACAAGAGTAATAAGTTGACTGAATAAAATTGCTTTTGAAGTCCACTTGGAAAGAGATGTCATAAACAAAATCAAAATTTGCCAACAGATACCACACAACAGACAGCGTCCTTAGAGCATTAAAAAGCCCCCATAGACCAAGAACAACAACTAGAAAAGTGAGTAAGTTACCTGGATAACTCCCCAGGAAGAAAACAGAGACAGCCCTTAAACCCATGAAAAGATGCTCAGTCTCATTTACAATAAGACACAGGTAAGCTAAATCCATGAGTTGAGGCTCTCACTTATCATCAGCAAAAACAGTAAAAACCCAAGGATCCATAGACTATGTGATGAGGATGTGCTCTCACATCCTGGACCAGTTTACACACCCATCAACAAACTCCATGGACTTGTCAAAACCTGTGGCAATGTAAGCTGTGCCTTCCCTTGACATAATAATGTGCTTTCTCTTTTAGGAGTTCATCCTTCTTTTCTTTTCTTTTTTTTTTTTTTTTTTGGTGTTTTTTCTCTTGTTTTCTTTTGTTTTTTTCGAGACAGGGTTTCTCTGTGGTGTTTTGGTGCCTGTCCTGGATCTTGCTTTGTAGACCAGGCTGGCCTCGAACTCACAGAGATCCGCCTGGCTCTGCCTCCCAAGTGCTGGGATTAAAGGCGTGAGCCACTACCACCCGGCTCATCCTTATTTTCTATCAAATAATATATAAAATCTTGATACAAGGTTACTTATTATAACATACTATAATGAAAGACTGGAAGCAAATCATATGCCCACTTTCATGGGCTCTGGTGAATAAATGGCATAGCTTTTAAAGAGATTATCGCTGGCGGTGGTGGTGCATGAATTTAATCTCAGCACTTGGGAGGTAGAAGCAGGTGGATCTCCAAGTTCAAGGCCAGCCTGGTCTACAGATAAGAGTTCCAGGACAGCCAGGCCTACACAGAGAAACTCTGTCTTGAAAAACAAAACAAAACAACAACAAAAAAGGATTACATAAAGCCATTAAAATTAAAATAATAGGGCATATAACCAAGCAAGATGGTGCATGCCTTTAATCCCAGAATTTGGGAAGCAGAGGTAGGTGGATCTCTGTAAGTCAGAAGCCACCCTGATCTACACAGTGATTTCCAAGCCAGCAGTGGTACTTAGATCTTATCTTTAAAAATTACATTTATTAGGGACTGGAGAGATAGTTTGGTGCTTAAGAGCACTTGCTGCTTTGCAGAGGACCAGGGTTCAGTTCCCAGAACCCACATGGGGGCTCACAACTATAACTCAAGTTCCACCAGATCAGATACCCTCTGCTGTCCTCCATGGGCACCATGCACACACATGGTTCATACACATACATGCAAGCAAAAGTCTCATACACATAAAAATAAATACATTTAAAATAATGAGGTAGTCCCATTTGTCCCAATGGGTAATGAACAATAAGGTATATTGTTAATTTCTAAAAAAAAAAAAAAAAAAAGAAAAAAGAAAAGAAAAAGAAATAGAAGACAGTAGAGCAGCCAGGCATGGTGGTACACATTTATAATTCCATCACTCCAAAAGCTGAAACAGATCCTGGCCATGGGGTGACGAACGCCTTTAATCCCAGCACTCAGGAGGCAGAGGCTGGTGGATCTCTGAGTTCGAGGCCAGCCTGGTCTACAGAGTGAGTTCCAGGACAGTCAGGGCTACACAGAGAAACCCTGTCTTGAAAAAAATAAAACTGAATTAAATTGAAAAAAAGGAAGGAAGGAAGGAAGGAAGGAAGGAAGGAAGCTGAAGTGGAAGGGTTGGGAGTTCAAGGCTAGGATGAGCTATACAGCAACTCAGTCTGAAAAAAACAAACAAGTAAACACACAAAACCAAAACGGATGGAAGATAAAATAGACTTCTGAATTGAAAAGAGAATGGGAGAGAAAACATATGATATGCTTGCATGTATATAAAATGGCTCTGGAAATAAGGGTTGGCTCTGGGAAGGGAAACTGGGGGGTTGGAAGCAGAGAAGAGAGTGAAAGAAAGATTTCTTTCTTTCTTTCTTTCTTTTTTTGTATATTTTTACTTCATGTGTATTGGTGTTTTGCCTGCAAGTAGTATGTAAGGGTGTCTGAATCCCTAGAGTTACAGACAGTTGTGAGCTGTCATGTATAAGCTGGGAATTGAACCCGGATCTTATGGAAGAGCAGTCAGTGCTCGTAACTGCTGAGCTGTCTCTCCAGGCCCTGAAATGAAGATTTCTAATGGATACTCTCTTGTGCTTTTTGAACTGCTACCATGTACCTGAATGAAGTCTTTCTCTCCATTTCATTACAAATACAATACAAGCTCCTCAAATGAAAGGAGCTACCCTGTACTGCCTGCTCCCTAGCTACTAGTTATGTGTGGCTCTTTAAACAAGGAGCTAGCCTGTACCGCCTGCTTCAACAGCTACTGGTTAGTTATGTGAGGCTCCTTAAACACAAATATGAACACCTGAGTTTAGATCACTAGCCCCTATGTGGAAAGCCAGGAGTAGGCACACACTCTTGCAAACCTAGTGCTAGGTAGGCAGGTAAAAAAGGATAGAGAAAGACGCCTGACATTGATCTATACACACACACACACACACACACACACACACACACACACACACACACACACACGAGGGGGGAGTATTAAAATTTGGTTCCTTGACTGCACTAGCCATACACAATGGCCACATGCACATGTAGCTTGTGGATACCATACTGACTGGATGGTGAAAATACAGACTATTTACATTATCATTAAAAGTTCTATTGGCTTAATGACCAATGAGAGAGAGCAATCAAACCTTATGAGTGAAGAAATATAAATTCAATTCTATCTCCATATATTAGGCACATAAACTGAATGCCTACATTAAGATAATATTCAGGGTGGGGGGGCACACCTCCTGACCTATGTGACAGTACAGAGGTTAGGTATACACCAGCAAGAACTTCAGTCTTTAAGGTTCAAGATCCAGTACTCTAAGATAAGGACTGATAAGGACTTTCCACCCTGAAACCATATATCCATGGTTAAGCTATGACTTCCTGTCTCCTTTATGGTTCAGAAGAGGCTGATGAGAAAGTTCATAAAGCACCACTGACTGATTTCCCTGGGGGCTCTTGTTCAAGAACCAGTCAAGACACAGCTGCTCCCCAATTCTGCCACTCTAGTGACACTGTGGACAAGACAGCTCAGCCTGCTGGGCTGTGCCCATGGGCAGAGGATCAGAGAGAAACAAAAAGTCTTGCCACCCAGCCCTGGAGATTCAACTAGCAGAGGCAGGACCAATTAGACAGATCAACCAGGAACTTAGCTAAAAGAAGAGGACTTGTGTATCTGTGGCAAAGCTTTCAAAACTCTTACTGTCTAAGAAACAAGGCCACGAGACACACAGCTCATGTCCTGGCAAAGGCAAGCATGTGAAAAATGTCTGACTCTTGAGCCAAATATGAGCTGTGATAGTCTAAGGTAACCACCTCCTGGAAATTATGTTTGAAATAAGACAACACCACTGAAATCCAAACCAGTCTCTCCATCTGTTTAAAATAGAAACCCAAAGCCACTTGACCAGCTCCTCATGTGGTCCCTTAGCTCCAGGGTCTGGGGACCACACTACAAGCTTTGATCTTCCCTCAAGGTAAAATGCCAGAGAAAGCATCATATTGGCAAGTATTTTCCACTGGACTAAAATCAAAATACCCCCATGTGTGTTTTGGTAGAGGCCTAGAATGGAAACTGGGTACCCCAAAACATTCTCCAGTTGCCCAAACTTGCTCTCAAAGAGCTAGGAGTTTAAAAAGGTTTGTCTTCTCTTCAGCAAAGGAGATACAGCTAGTCAAAAGTCTTTCTGATTATAGGAAGAAAGCCAGCTTCACACAGAAAAAGGGCCCTGTCAAAATAAACAGTGACAAAGTTTGGAGGGCACAAAGTCTACCTGGACCTTGGTGAGCTGGTCCCTACCCTCTTTCTAGGCAAAAGCTCCCCTCCAAAAGTCTCAGTAACCTAAAAACAATGAACATAAGAAAAGGGACATGAAAGCTAGACCTAGTGGTGCTTGCCTGGAACCCCACAGCATTCAAGAGGCTGAGGCAGGAGGATCATGTTTAAGGACAGTCTGAGCTATAAAAGGAGATCCTTGTCAGAGAGAGAGAAAGAAAGGAGAGAAAAAGGGAGAGAGGAGAGAGGAGAGGAGAATGGAGGGACGGAGGGAGAGAGGGAGGGAGGGAGGGACAGAGGAACGGAAGGAGGAAGGGAGGGAGGGGGAGGAAAGAAGAAGACACAAGATAGAACCACACTTAAAATTTCATAGTTGATG